AATTCGTGTAATGTTCTTCTCTCAACATTTCAGTCCTTGTTTTTTCACTTTGTTTTAACTGAGCCATATTAATGTTGTACTTAACATTTTTATTTTTGCATGTAGTGTACCTCAGTTAAATGACTACACTAAAATTTTTTTATGGCTTCTAAAAACTAATGCTTCCAGATTCTTTTTGCCAGCAGCATCGTGGCAGTCAGCAGTTAGTCCATTCAGTAAGCAGTTCTGTATGCTGCATAAAACAGACACATCCTGAATTAGGGCGAACGAAGGGATATTTTTAACGGTTGCATCATTGCTCTGTAGACTGCTTTTGTATTTGAAATTTCCTGCTATTGTGTCTCCAAGTACATTAGAAAATTTTGTGGCATGCTTCCCAAACTCTGTTCTTCCCTTTTTGGATGTGCCATTTACACTTTTGTGTTTGCAGCTGTTGGCGTCCCTTTATGTACACGCTCTATTTCTGCCGTTAAAATAATCCCTGTGAAGAAAGTGAAAAGTTCTCCTCACCTAGTGCTGCCTACAGGTATCTTCTTCCTTCCTCCCCCGCCACGCATTAGTTGGCCATCATTCTCTCTCTCCTCTCTCTTTCTCTGTCTCTCTGCTTCACCCACATGCTTTGGCTAGTTCTCAGCTTCATCCTCTTCTCACTCCTCCCAGAGCTGTAGATTTCATCAGTAGGTAATGCAGTTAGCTCTTGATGGCACAAATGCACTGTTCTCAATTATGCTGCTCCTCTGCAGACATAATTGTGTCTGCTTGAATCTGGGATCATTGTAAACTCTTCTACTAATGCTTGATTATGAAAAATACTATTATTAAAGACTCATTTTGAACCAAACTCCTGATGAACCAAAGAATGTTTCCTGCATATCTTTGGTCTTTATGAAAATAAATGGTTCAAGCGTAGTTCAGTGTTGGTGGGATGGTTTTGTTTTTCTGTACATACACTGAATTTAATCTTCATATGAATAAGTAAGGATATTAGGCTGCCTGTCACCCCTCCACAAGCACATGCTTGCACACTAAAAGTACAAGATTATTCTTGTACTTTCCTGGATTTGGACAATCAGACTACTCTAGCTGATACTGCTTGTGTCTCCTAATTTGTTACACATGTGCTTTGTTGGACTAGTACAGTGCTAATGTCCTGTTTATTACCATTTGCTGGATCTCTATGCTGAGATATTCAGATTTCTGTTTCCTGTCATTTCACCTAAATTGTGAGGGAACTCAACATCTTAGGTATTTGTCTTCATTTTCCAAGATGAAATAGTCTAGCAAGATTTTATTTTCAAAACATTTTTTTTAGTTCAGAGCATTTTTTTCTGACTCTTATTCTTTTGGTTCAGTATACAGGTTTAATATGTTGTATGAAAAATAAAAAAAATGCATTGATTCCCAAATTTGATTCGGCTCCAATATGATGAAGAAAATATTTGGACATATATGACATGTTGAACTTTCAGTGTTTCCATTTCTCTCCAGTGCCTGTGAAGGGAATATAGGCATAGGGTAGTAAAACAGCTACTTTGCACTCTTTGTAGATGTCTAAATTAGGCCCAGTGACTCCCAACGGTGTGTCCATACCTTAGAGTTCCAGCACTCTTAAAACTGGAGTCTTGGAACTTAAACCTTTGTCCTGTGATTTGAAAGTGAGTCACTAGAGTCCTTGGGCTGCATGTTTTGCAGCGCAGATGGAAGTGATAGCCAGAACTGCACTCTTGGGCAAAAAGAATCCTGACCCTTTCTGAATCGTGTGAAAATCAGTTGAAGTCAACTTCTATTTCACAAGGCAGAAGGGTGATCTTAGGTTGTGATCAGGTGTGTGGTGTGAGTGCAAATGTGTCATATTTAAGGATTAAGCAGCTTTTCATATGTCTGTGTAGATAGTCTTTCCCCTTACAGAGGCTGCATCAATGCTGCCTAAGTTAACTAGAGGCTGAATTGTAGTAAAGTATCCTCTGATTTCTTACTTACTCCATCCTTTTGGAGTCCTAAATATGGGTCTGGAGAGGAGCTGCATCCCTCCCCATGCAGAGGTAGCATGATCCTTACCTCATAAAAATAAAAATCATTGTGTTGTCACTTGTGTAATGCAACATGTGCTCAGTACCTCTCCATGCTCCCTGTGCAGTGTCATAGTAGGTATCTCTAGGTAGGTAGGTCAAAGTGAAGTCTGATGGCAGCTGCTAGGTTACTAAGAGTGCATGAGAAGATGAGCTGATGTGTTTTTCTCTGGAAGTAGCTTAGAGAAGTGAGAGTTTCTTTAGGCTTATTGCTTCTGTAGGTATTTGAAAGGAAACAACTTCCCAGAAAGATTTTAAGTAGGGGGGGAAAGATAGCCTTGAAGTACTGGTTTGTTATTACTTAATAGGATGACAGGAGGAGAAAACCCAAATCCATGGACTGAAATGCACAAAGGTAAGCCTGCACAGAAACTGTGCTGAACTGTGCCTCAGCAAGGACACTGGTATGATCTGGTATCTGGTTCGCTGGTTGATCTGAACAGGTATATGTTAAATCTCCTTCTAGGTTTTGAGACTTGAGTTCCTGTGTCAGAAGATGAAATACTGCCATGAAATGGGGAGATAGCAAGGAGGTGGCCTGTGGTGCCCTGCCTTTAGATCATATTCAGCGTAGCTACAAGATTTTGTCTTTCAGTGGTCATAAGTCTTTTTTTTTCTCTTTCAGTCCTCCACAAAAGGCAATTTTAAGCTTCATCACAAAAATCATATTGCATTATACCACTGGGACATCCCCTATAGAAGAGCCGCAGGTGTAATGGTAGACTGTCCTTGCTAGCAGAGTATCTCCATGCAAAGCAGAACAAATAAAGCCAATGGACCTGTGACATCTGATTCAAACATTCATCCTTTTTTCCTCCTTTCTTAGCTCTGTTGCTCCAACTCAGAACTTAATGCTACATTCATCAGTTACGTGAATATGAAACTGCTTTGATTTCTCAATGCTTTAAATACAGAGCTAATGTTCATCTGCACAAACATTACTAGTTTGATTCACCTGGAGGCAGCCATGCTAAAATTACTCTAGAGCTCTGATGGCTCCTAATAGCTTTTTATCATCCCTTTCTGTGTGTCTCCTCTATGCATGTGCATTTCCTGTAGAAACGGATCCCGCTAAAGTCTGCAGTGGAAAAGGAGCTGTAACCCTCCGGGCAACTCCAGCCTATGAAGGGAATCGGAATATCACTTCGCCATGTCCTCAGGATGTTGAGCAACCTGAAAGTAAGTGGGTGGAAGGTTAACTGGAATATGTTACTTACAGTAACCTCAAGACAGGTCAGTCCAGGGTCTTGGGATGACTATTTAGCTATGGTTTAAAGCCCAAAATTCTGTAGCATAGTTGGAAACCTCTTGCAAGACCCAGACCAGTAGAGGGAGACTGACTTGTGGTTTTTTCCTAGTGCAGGTTTCATGACCACTCAGTCATTGGCTTAAGTTTGTCATGACTGCCAGAATCTCTCAGTTCCCTTTTTTTTTATTATTTTTTCGCCTGGCTGGCCCGTGTCACCTCCTTTTATCCCAGGCGTGAGGTGGAACAGAAAGAAGCTGAGTGGTGCTACTGCCCCTACAGCATTAAGTTGGGTTGTCAGGGGAGCGGGGATAGCATCCTAGACAGACAGTGTTACCACGGAGCTCTGCCATCTTTCAATAGCAGACGTGTAATTACTTAATTGTAGGAGACAGGCAAAGCATAACAAACCTGGCCAGTGTCGTGGGTCTGGCAGAGAGGATGAACTCCCAAAGGCAAGATGCCGTTAAGGGGGAGGGGGTAAAACTTGCTCTTGAAAGCAAAGCATACATCGTTTCTGACTGTATTGTTGGTGAAAGGGCAATTCCATTAATTCCAGCCCCAATGTGCCGCTTTCTGCTCTGTCTTCTCCCATTCTGCCCCACCCGTGACCCTACCCCCTTTTTATGCTTGCCATTCTCTGTTTCTTCACTCTTACCCCCCACTGTTGCCTCTCTCCTTTCTGTTGATGGCTTCATAAATTTCCAACAGCTTGAATGGCAATGAGCCCATTACTATGGAAATCAGCTTGTTAATACTTCCTTTGCTTACTCTCTCAATCGCTTTATGAAATGTACTTTGGAGCTGGAAAAGCTTTTTGCATATAACTTAAACAGCAAAATGAGGGGTAGGGAGGAGCCCAGTGGGAGGTGGGTAAATATGTGATGAGACTGCTGCATGTAGCTGCAGGGACTGCGTTGTAAAGTGACATCGTATCTTATAACTCCCCTCATGCACTTAGCCTGCAAACCTGATTTATTTGTTGGCAGTCCTTTATCTCAATTAATCATATATAGTGATGTTGATAAGGATATATATGTCTTCATAACCTGTATCATGGCTGAATACAGGGTCCCTACATTTCCAGTAATTTGCAGTGTCCGGATGTCAAGCTGCAGCTTTAAAAAGTAGCAAGCTGGGCTGCCTTTTTGCCTCTGAAATAAGAATGTCAATGAACAATTGTTTTTTCATTGCTCTGAATGAATTGCCTTGTGTTTACAAAGGTCAGAAACAAGGAGGGCATCATGTTTAGGGACGGTCTCTATGGTAATTAGGCTGCCCTGTCAGAAAGCATTTTATGTGTGAAATGAAGTAGCTTGACTCTTAACTTCAATTGGTACATGTTTTCTGTAAATGTAATGGTTTATTTTTTTCCTCTTTCTTTCCCTCTCTGCCTATCCTCCACCCCCACCTCCTCTGTCCCTCCTTTCTGTGAAATGCTTAGGTCTGGAGCCAGAAAACTCAGAAACAGGTACAAACATTGTCTGCTTATGCTGTTACTTCTGCTGCATTATTGGAATTATTTCTTGTTGCCTGGGAAAAAAAACGGAAAAAGGAAGGAAGAAAAGAGTCCCCTCTTTTTACTCATCCTGTAGCTGGAGGGAATCCTCTGTGATCTGAGTTTTCTTTCCCATCATAGATGATTGGAGGTCGTCGTCTAACACCGATGCCAATGGGGATGCCCAACCATCTTCTCTGGCTGCCAAGGGTTATAGGAGTGTGCGTCCAAACCTTTCTTCAGATAGCAAGCCACAGGTAAGCCTTTCTTCTGTGACCCTGAGGGTGATCATCTGGGTTCAAGCGCTGGATTCATGGTCAGGAGTCCTGGGCTGAACTCCAGACTTGGCTGCAGATGGGTAAGTTGCTATGCCTCAGCTTTTTTTACCTTTAAAATGGGGGCAACCCTTATGTCAGCAAAGTGTTGTGGAGCTCGTGTATTCAGGCACACCGTAGTGTTTCCTTGGTGGATGAAGGAGGAAGACAATGCTATTTGTTCAAAAGAAAAAAGGTGAAGTAGTCATCTGTAACTATTTTGTATTTTATGTTGGTTTTATTTCCTAGAGGTTGCTGCAGGCTGAAATCAGAGTTGCACTCTACATCAAAAATAATATATTGAGAATGTCTTTCAGTTTTAACACTGTAACTGATACAAGCCAACAAGGGAAAGGTTATTTGTACCTGAAGGTAAATTGTTGAAGTCAATCTGTTAAGAGAAGTGTAACTTCATGCTTTTTCTTTTGGATGCTCAGTCTGCACAGAAGCAGTCTGAAAGCCTGTAAGGAAACCTTTCATTAGAGACTGCATTCTTGTGTGAAACAGAGTCCCTTTAAAGCCTTGTCCCCTATCAACGTGACTGCTCCCATCATCAGGGTCCTATAGCAATGCTACAGACCAGACACCGTTCCTGAAATCGTAAGTGAAAGTGGAAGAAGGTACAGCTCGAATGAAGGTGTGGGAAGGAGCAGCACCCTAAAGAGAGACCCATTTCTGCTCAATACATACAGCTCTCCTGTAGTCCCTTCCTGATTTTGTTGAACAGAGGGAGCACTCATGCACATAGTACTTGTTATAGAAGTCTCAAGAACTGCTGTTCAAACTAAGCTGAAATGGAAGAAATTCCAAAGAGAATGAGCCTGTTCAGAGGCAGAAACCCTTCAGAAGAGCACTTACCAACCCCCTTCTTTACTTCTTTATGCATCAGGGAAGGTGGGGAGGGGCAGTGGGGCAGTGTTAGGACAGTAGATTTTGGGACAGCAGCTGTAATGTTATGAAACTTTTCTACATCTACATTCATGTAACAAGAATAGTTGCTGGCCACAACTTGTCATATGTTGATGAATTTTAAGGGATGTTGCTTTTCAGATTTGAATGTTGCAAACTGTTAAGGCGTTTCCAATTCTCAGATTTTTTCTCAGGAAAAAAAATCACTGTAATTGGAATTGCAGTCAGCAGGCAATTTGGAGTTAGCAAGCTATGTGTTGCTAAGTACCAAAACCAGTAAAGCTTTTCTTATTATTTACTAGCAGCAGGATTTCTCTGTTGGTGATCTTGATTCTGGAGGCAAATTTTGATGAACTCAGTTCCTCAAGAAACTCTAATTGTTCCGATCTTCCCAAAAGCATTTTCAGGATGGAAAAATACTGAAGAGAATTGAAGAGCTAGGTTTTAGAAGGAAGAAAGGCTGACTTTTTACTTAGCCAGCTGTGGTAGGATAGAATCATAGAATAGAATAGAGTCAACTGCGTTGGAAAGGACCTCCGAGATTATCAAGTCCAACCCTTGATCCACTACCACCGTGGTTACTATACCATGGCACTAAGTGCCACATCCAATCTCAGTGAATACTGTAGGCTACAGTATTCACATGATGTCTGCTTTCATTAGCACTGGTGAAACTTCACAACGTTCATTTTTCAGCAGTGCACTTAACATGCAGACATGGCCTAGAGCTCTGAATTTGGCTTTGCGATTCAAACATCCCCAGTGCTGGGAAGTATTTAGTTATACAAGCGTGAGCCTGAGTTTAGTTAGCCATGATGTTAAATCATGACTTGGGCTTTCCCAGGGGCATGGTGGGTGTTACTGTGCAGGTCTCTTGAAACAATAGAGTACTGAGATTTATTTCACCCAGAGAGAGAAACATGTAGGCAGAGACTTGAGAGCTGGGTAAAGTTTGTGTGCTGCAGTGAGCTGTGCTAAGAAACAGAGAATGTGTGAGACGATGTGAGTGAGTTCTGCACTGGCCTTCCAGATACTGTATTTGCTTTTTATTCTTGCTGTATTAAAACCTGCTTAACCCAAGTCTAATGATCAAATTCATTCTTAGAATTTAATTTTTTTTCCTTCCTTTTTCCTTTCATTTGATGATGCTTCCTTTCTCCTTTTCTACCTCTTTGATTCTGCCTCGGCAGGCCCTTGCTCCTCCCCGTCCTCCTCTTCCCAAAGAGGAAAGCTTTGCATGGCGTCCCCGCACTGACACTAAAGCGACCAACCTGTTGCCAGTGCCCATCATGGACTGCGTGTACCTGAATGCACCCAAGCCTTATACGCAGCGTGCATCACCAAACACCAGTGCACGGTGTTATTTGTCATCACCTACCCCCTATGGGGCCGTCCCCGGTGGGAAGCAAGGCTTGCCAGCAGGGCATTCTCCCTCTTCAGGCCCCAAAGACGAGGTGCATGCTGGGCAGCCACTCTTGGAAAGTCGCTCCTCGTCGGGTGCATCATCCATACAACACAACCCTGACAGGGCAGATCCCAGTAGTAAGGCTGGAATGAATTCCAGTCATGAGACGAAGGCGGATAAAAAGGTCAGCAAACTATATGTAGCTTGTTTATCTAACAGCACTTGCTCAGCCGCATCTCAAAATTCCGCTGGCACCACACATGACCCAGCAGCCAGCACCAGTTTGGGCGCTGAGCTCACTCAGGCACCAGCCACCAACATTGTTTCCTCTGTAACAGACACTGAAAAGTCTCTTCCTGCTGCTCCTCCTCCTCCTATTCCTCCCAGGCCATCCTTTTACATTGTCCTCAGCAAAGACGCAGTTAGTTATGGTGCAAGCCAACCCTCCCGGACTCAGTCGCCAGCTCTGCAAGCTGTGAGGGACAGAGTGCTAGAGCCCCAGAGCACAACTGCCACAGAGGACAGGATGAGAAAAGAACCTTACCTTACTCAGCAGCGACAGCCACCATACAAGGCAATGGGACGCAGCATGGTACATGTTTTCTCCATAACCTTGTTTTCTTTCAGCCGTGCGAACAGTTCTTTAATTCATTACAATGTTCCCTTAATGCTTTATTCCCCTCCTTCCTAATTTCTGAGCACTTCTTGTGCCGCCTGAGTCTTGTGATCTTCTACTCGATAATATTTAACACCCCATGTGTGCCCCTTCAACGTTGATCTGTGTGTTTGTGTGTGTGTGGTATTTGTAAGGAGTTGGGTTGGGCTGGTGAGGATCTTTCCATTTTAGGGAGGTGTAAAAGAAGCAAACTCTGTACGGGGATGGCTAGTGCTTCTCAAGTGATGGTGAATGCAGAGCTGTTCTGTGGCTTTCTACACAGAATGGGAGAAGGGTGGTGAGAGGAATAAATATTTTTGTGGAAAAACATATGTTCATAGGGGCCAGGGCTGCAAGCCTGAATGTCTCCCTAAGGAAAGAAAATCTGGTGGGTCTTTGTATCATTTTGGGTACATTCCTTGCATGACACTATATGGCTGTGTTTGACTAAAGTATCAATCCTCCCCCGTTGCATAACAACACCTTGTTTCCCACAGGATGCCACTGCCACCACCACAGCTCAGCCTGGAGTTATAGTAGTCCCCCTCCTCCAGGTTAATCCAGACAGACAACAAGAAAGCAGCTCCAGCACTCCACCACCGCCTCTGGTTCCTTTTGGGCAAGGCTCCGTATTCCCTGAGATTGTTTCTCCTGGCTCACCCCTGACTTTTCCAACTCTAGACGATTTCATTCCCCCACATCTCCAGAGGGGCTCCCACCATAACCAAGCACCTTCCACACCTGGCACATTACCCTCTGTTTACCCGAAACTGCCATTCTTCTCATCACCACCTTCACTTGTCCCTCCAGTCACAGGGGCTTTGCACAGGGGCTTGAAGCCTGAAATCACTGGAGTCATCTCACATACAGTAAGCTTGCCAAGTACCCTCCTCGCCCTTTTCCTAAATTTGTATTCCCAGATTAAAATTACTTTCTCCTTGCAATACTAAACTTGAGAGAGGAGCGATGACTCACTCACTGCCAGCAGCATGACAACTGAAACCTTGTTTGCGTCCTGTGCTAGTGCATGCGTTATGCCTGCCTTGTGCAGCTTTGAACTTTCTATTGACTTCTTGCAACATTTGACTGGCTCCCTTTGTGCCTGTTCTGCCAGGTGAAGCACACCATAAGAGTCTTCACAGGATTTGCTCAGAATAATGGATTCTGTATAAACTGAATAGCTGCAACTAACTGATCTCTTCAGGCTCTTTTAATAGCATCCTTAATTGTGTTTGAATAACATTTAAAGCAGCAACAGCAGACCAGTTAAAGGTTAGGGCTGGCTTTCTGTTCCACTTGGAGCCACAAGACCATATGGTCTCTACACAAATCCCTGATGAAATCAGTGTAAGATTGCTGCCAGTATCCAATGACCTACAAGTTATAAGTTACTGAGCTAAGTGCCTTCCAAGCATGTAGGTGCTGTGGGATAGATTAGGCAGAGAGTCTCTCTTCATTTTGGAATTGCTTGTCTTTGAAAATTTTGAAGAATTCAGTCCACAACAGTTGGAATTTACTGTGTTCTTCTTGAGTTAGGTTTTGTTCCGCTTTCAGCACATCAACTATTTTAAAAAGTCCTCAGGGACAAGGAGGAAAAGTAGCTCGCAGTTAAAGTTGCAGAGGAGGCAAAAAGTACACAACCTTTCTTGCACTGGAAGTCTTAAAACCACCTTTTTTTTTTTTAATATACTTGTTTGTAAGGACAAGGAAGAAGTTCAGCAGAAATCCCCTTCTCTCATGATGATGTTTGGTCTGCCCTCTGGCTCTGTAGGGATCTAGCAAACAGGCATGTGGAGGTGGGGAAAGAAAAAATCAACTGAGGATATTTTCAAAAGTTCTCAGCATTGGCCTTTCTACTTTTGTTAAAATCAGCAGGGGTTTTATTGCAGAGAGTAATCAAAGTTTGGGTTTGGTGTTTCATTTTTGATTGGGGGTTTTTGTTTGTTTTTTAAATAGAGCCTATCTGTAGGCTCCAGAAAAAATCAGGAGGCATCCAAATCATAGAGGAGTACTGGAGATTTTGTTGTACCTGACTTTCTTGAGATGAGAGTTTTGAAACGTTTTTGGACATGCTCAATTCAGGCATGTGGTCACAGAGCTGTTTTCCACAATGATATAAATGGTCTTTCTTCACCCACTCTGGTGACTTTTCTGAGGCTCCTGAGCCAGCATCCCTCTTCTTTGAGGGATTCCTGTTTGTATTTTAGTTATCAAAGTGAAGCTTAAACCCAGTTCTCATACTTCTCCCTGCCTCTTGCTCCTTTTTCCTGTTTGCACTGTTTGGAATATTATCACAGTCAGCAAAATGGGACTGGGTCTTTCTCTTGGGAACACGTATTTCTGAAAAACACTGATTCTTTTCTGTCCCCATGAAATGTTTATGGCCTGACCAGATGCTGCTTGAACCAAGATCACCTTCATCCGACAGAACAAGATTGTTTTTCCCCATTTCCCCTCTAGGTTGGAGAGACTGTAGATGCTTGTTCTGAGTATGGCCAATTCTCACTATGATTTATCTCTGAGCTCTGGTGCCAGACCTCACTCTGGCCCCTGTTCAGCCCCCTGCTTGATGCTGTAAGTCCTTTCCTCTGATGCTGGTGGGTATGAAGGGCACTGAGTTGCAGTTGCACTTGGCCAGAAAAGCCAGAAGTAGGGATTTTTCTGGAGCAAGATTCTGTGCATATTCAGGGGGTTTTTTCAGTAGTGATGAAAGTACCGTTGAATGCTCAGCTGATTTTACAGATCAGTGGCTTTCAGCATTTCAGTCTGACAGTGGAGCAGCAGGAGTGCAGGAATTTGGTCCACTGTTCCATACTCTCTTTGTTTGGATGCTCGTTCCCCATTAACAGTAATTGTGTGTCCAAATTCCTTAAGAAGCTTTGAACAATCTCAGTCTAAACTGGCACACACACGGTCTTAGTCATCATCCCTTCTTTATTTTTTCCCCTTACCACCACCCAAAGCCCAGTATCCCTGGACTGAGGTTTTTCAAAGATGAGCTAGCTTTCAAAGTCTCCCTGCTGACACAGCCTGTATTTCTACAGAACAGTGAGAGTTGTAGTGATATCAGAGGTGGGTTTGAAATAAGCAAATAATGGAGCTGGATGCTTTAGGAGGGCAAGAAGAGATTGCTATCTGTGCTCCAGCAGCAAAGCCATGATAAGTACCTCTCTTGCTAGAGTCCTACCTTTTACCCTCTATCAGTTTTGGGGCTTCTTTATGTAATTTTTTTAATCAGGTAGGTATCACACTGTCCCCTGAATGATGATGCTAACTTAATTTCTCAGACTTTCCTTACCAAACCATCTGCAATAATAATGTTTCACTCCAGAACTGCATGAGTTTTGCATGTCTGACTTGCTATGAAAGGAATACTTTAGGAACAAAAATATTTGTGTGTGTATGTATCAGGGGAAAGATGTCTGCATCTTCTCCCCCAACCAGATTTACTCATTTCTGTCACCTTGTGTTTACTCCAAAGAGTCTGCTAGATGAATTTAGTGCCCTCTTTTGGGGTTGGAGTTGTGAAACCCAACACCAAATAATTATAGTACCGCCTTAGCAAACTAATTCCATTAACAACAAGCAGGGTATGTACAAGGAGCAGGGTAACACTCGTGCTTATGCCTTTTATACTAAAATTTGCTGTGATTATGCTTCTCTTTCAGCTTAAAATGTTGGGGTTTTTTTCCAGATTTTCCCAGTGTAGCAGCCTTCTGCATGTTACTGATGATGTGTTGCTCTTCTTTTCAGGAACCAGGTCCTGTGCTAAATGAAGTGCCTCAGTCTGGCACTGGCACTGACTATCCAACCTCCATCACTTCAATCAGCAAATCTGCCTCTGCCTATCCTTCTACCACAATCGTCAATCCCACTATTGTCCTCTTGCAGCATAATCGAGGTAAGGAGACTTGCATATAGATAGTTGTAGCTCAAACTGAGCAACCTACTATGCTACAAGGAACTGGAGAATGTGTGTGCTGTGGACAATTAGGTCCAGACTACTAAGAACTAACAAAGCTGCCTCAAAAAAGTTGTAGTGACTGGAACATACAACAGGCAAGTAAGAGGTTAGAGGTGCGTGACAATGCCTACTTTGTGTAATTAAAACCTGCGGACCAGAAGCTCTCTGAAGTGGGGGGAGGTTTTTAACTGGGCTATGGACAAATGAATAAGCTATTGCAGGGTAACAAGTGTCTTGTTATGGTGGAAAAGGGTGTATGCTCCCGTATATCTGTCAGTAGAAACAAGGTAGCTTGGAGTAGTTTCTCCCTCACTTGAAAAGGTGATACATTACTTCTCAGCTACTGCAGTGTGAAAGCAGCTGTATTTTCTGTTACTGTGGGAGAGATTTGACCTCTGAATTTGCAGCAGAATTTGCCCAATAGTAAATAATCTGCTGTCCCACAGGTTTGAACTGGGCAATTTGTTCCTCTATCCATAATTATGTCAACTCAAACTCATACTGCACTAGTCCTTGAGCTCTGGATTTGCGTATGAGCAAAACAACCTTGTTTGAGAACTCCTATGTTTAGCAATCAAAGCCTTTCTTATAGCAGCTCTATCTGAGTGAATAGTTCCATCTCTTTACCTCTGGCATTAGAGGGAAACTTTGCTTGTTCTTTCTAGTTCTCCTGGTGGCTGGCATTACCCCAGCCTCCCAGTTCATTGTGCATCACTAAAGACAGTAGCTTATAACAGGCCACACAAATGCAGTCCAATTTGCCTTGATTTTTAGTGGGCTCGGGAAACTCCAGGAATCTACAGTGTTGTGGCTTACCTTTTGCAAAGAAAAAAATAAAATCAGAAAATAGGGTCAAGGCCCGCACTTCTCATACTGTAGTCATTCTAATTACAACTCCTTTGCAATCCCTCATGGGGTATTTTCAGTGCCCTTTTAAAACAGTTTTCAGTCTTTGATCCCGAAGGTAGTGTCCTCACTGTAGCCCAGCCCCTTATAGGGGTAATGAGTGGC